CAGGCCAGTAACAGCAGCTGCTGCAGGCCTGGAGCTGGCAGGCGCTGGGTGCACACATGGTTAATGCCGACCGACCGCGCTCCGCTGGGCTCACATCTGGCAGGGGGAGGGCGGCTTGCTGTGTTTGTCCTGCTTCTTCCCTCTCCTCCTTTACTTTCTAGAAAGTGCATTTCCGCCCGGGCCAAAGGAGGAGAAGAAGCTGTCAGAGAGGCAGGGAACAGGCCAGGCTCAGCGCCTGTTTCTGGAGTGGCTGGCAGCACGGCGCCAGGGAGATGCCCTAGAGAAGGAAAGGCAGCGAGAGGAGAGAGCAGCCCTGCCCCAGAGGTAGGTGGGGGGCAGGTGGGACCCTGGGGCATTTGCCCTGCAGGCCCGAGCGCCATGGAGCTGCACCTTGTGTACACATCCGTGCATGCTGTCAGCAACGGGTGCTCCAGAGTCTGTCTGGACTCTGTTCGGATTCACCCAGGAGGCACACGCAGCCTTGCCGGGTGCGTGGGTGAGCTGGGGCATGCCCAGCAAGGGGGACTGGCCTCCCACACCAGTTAGCTGGGTAAAGACCCTGCCCTGCCTGCAAAGGAGGCTTCATCATGGGGCTGAGCCTCATGCGTCCTTGGAGGGGTAGTGCCCAACCAGCAGCAGCTTTGGGAGGACAAACCCTGGGAGAGGATTAACATAGAGCCAGCAGAGCAAGCTCAACACCGTACAGAGCCACCACGGCTCCCCCAGCCCTGCCCGAGCCATGTGTCCAAAACGCCAGCACCCGCCAAGCGCATGAAATGTGGGGCTGGGCCACCTCTGAGCATGTCCACAAGGCACAAGATGACTGCCAGGGTCTCCAGAACAACTCGCTGCTTCTTCTGGGTGCCACAGGAGCTGGAGGGCTGGCTTAAGAGCTGTGATCCCCTCTTTAGCCCTTGAGTGCAATCACCCCCACACAACTCCCACCCTGCTGCCCACCAGGTCTAGGCTGCTCTGAGAGCATGAGCAGCTCCACAAACTTGCAGGCTGCTGCGGCAAAGGGGTGGGGAGAGCCAGTCCCACTAGCACATCCCTGGACACCAGAAACATCCTTGCTTCAGCTGCTGTATCCCCATGACTGGTGAGCAGGGAGGGTGAGAAGGGCACGCAGGTTCCTGCTGCCTCCACACCACCCTGTGACCCCCTCGTCCCTCTCCCTAGGGTTTGCCCTTGTTTCCTCCCAGTCTTTAACACCGCCTGGAACGTATTTCAGGATGTTTTGACTTGCAGTCCTGAGGCTTTAGCAGCTGCTGAATTTAAATCTCCAAACCGCTCCTGGAAAGCATCCAACCCTGACAGGAAAAAACAGTCCCTTCAGCAAGACTGTATATGCCTGTGCATATAGGTGCACCTCCCACCCAGTATGTCTGCAGGGTGCAGAAGGAGACGGGCTTAGGGGAATCGCCGAGCCCTGCACACTGCCCGCAAGTGCACCACGTGCGCCAGCTCTCCTGTGCTGCGCTGGTAGCACCGTGTGCGCATGGTGCCTTTGCCTCCATTTGGAGCACTGCAACAGTCTGGGAAATGAGCTGTGTTTTCTCAGTGGGAATTTCCTGGTTGAGGATTTCTTAGCCCTGTTGAGCAAAAAATGCAAAGCTGCATTTTCCCAAGGGCTGAGGCTGCCGCAGGTCCCGGGAGAATGCCAGGCTTGACAGGAAACCTCAGAGCTGCGGTCCCAGCGCAGAGGGAAAGCCACGGGCTTCCCGACAGACAGCACGAGCGCTGCGCTGAACAGGCTGCATGCCACGCTCGTTAGCACACGGCTGGCACAGCTGGAGGCCAGGCAAGGTTAAGAGAGCCAGGACCGATGCTCCCCCGAATTATATCTACTCACAGCACAGGGAGGGAGGCTGTGGCGCCAGGCTCCCACGTGGTGCCGACAGCCCTGCCTCTGCCGGTACCGGGCAGTGCCTGCCGGGCACAGGCTGAGACGCTGGGCCCGGCGCATGGGGCAGGACAGGCTGCCCAGGGCCTTGCAGGAGACAGCCCCTCTCCAGGCCTCCCCTGGGGCAGGTGGGCACATGGAGAAACACATGAGGGGACAGCCCTTTGCTAAGGGTACGAAGCTAAGGGAAAGTCCTTTGGAGCCTTTTCTCCATCCCTCCTCCCCTTCCCAGCTGCAGTTAACATGACTCATAAGCCAGGCATCCTGGCCTCAAACACCCTCTGCACCCACGATTGCCAGGAGCAGGCGCTGCCCTGGGTCTGGGACCCCACCAGCCCTGACACACCGGGGACAACGCAGACAGCCTGATGTGAGGCTGTTCCTGCCCCGGAGGAGCCACTTGCCGGGAATCCCTGCTGCATGCAGAGCAGGCGTTCACCAAAGCAGCTGGATTCTGCCCCGAACTCCAGAGAGCTGTCCCCCCACCTGTCCCCACTGGTTGGGTCAGGAGGTGCTGACCCCATAGCATGCTTGTCCCCTTGCTGGCTTGGCTCCTTTCTCCTCCCCACTGGGGCAGCAGCCCCTTCCACTCTCAGGACACGAGGCTGTAGTGCAAGGGGCTCTTTGAGGCACATATTCCTGGCTCCTTGCAGACCTGGGCAGCTTGCTGGGTCCCTCAGAGCCTGCATCCCCTGGTGCGCTGCCAGGCTACAGGGAAGGGGGTCCTCTGGGAGAGGGGAGTCAGACAAAGGCCATTCCCTTTTGGGGATGCATCTGATGGAGATGAGCGCCTTGCACACAGGCCCCATTGTGGCTTTCTGGGCTGTGCTGGGCTCTCTGGACTTGCCCACAGGATTTGCAATGCCCCAGCAGCTCCCTGTGCCCACAGGCCTCGTGCTCTACCAGGAGCCCTGCACCACCTCAGCACCACCTCAGACCCTGCTGCCATGGGATGCTGAGCAGCTGGGAAGCACCATGCCCTTGCTTGGCCCCAGGACTGGCCTGGCCCCTCCAGGGCCTCAGGGTGAGGTGTTGAATGCTTGGCCCTGTGTCTAGACATGGCCTCAAGCTAAAGAAAAATGAGTGTGATAAAGCAAGGAAGGGCAGCTGCCTGGTTTAGACCATGGTGCCACCAGCTATTGCAAATATTAGCTTTGGCCCCATGCAGGATGCAGGTTCTTGGTGCCAAGGTGGTTTCTCCCAGTGGTGACTGGCTCCCAGCTGGGCTGTGGATGCCAGGAGGCATTCATGCCTCTGGAGAAGCAGCTCTCGTTTTCTTGCAAACCCTCGGGTGATGGGCCCAGACATGGGTACGGGCTGAGGGCTGGCTGTTGCCTGGGGCAGGGGCAGCCCCTTTCACAGGTGTGTGCACCTGCAAGCTGCCTGCACACTCAGGGATGGTCCCTGGGGCCAGGGCAGGAGGAGGGGTGCACCCATCAGGCTGGCACGAGCTTGAGCGCAGACCCTGCACCCAAGGGCAGGGCTGGGGACCCCTGTGAGGGGCAGGTCCCGGGCAGGAAGGCAGTTTGAAGGCAGCTCTGGCAGCCAGGAGCACTGTACAAGCTTGGTGCCCTCCTCCTTGCAGTGACCTCCCAGCACAATGGGCAACACCTGGGCTGAAAGCACAGCTGTGCCCTACCTGGTACAACTAGGCCCTGTGTTGGGGACGTCACAGGACACAGCAGGACATTTTTGCAGCTGCTGGAGACAGGATGCAGCACTAGGGGGAAGCCACATGCCTTGTCCCTTTGCAGGGCAGCTGGGTGCTCAGGACACTGCTGAGCATAGGCCTAGAGTCAACCTTTCTCGCAGCTGCTCACTGCTGTGGGGAGTGGCCCCCAGCCAGGCTGTCCCCCATCCACACACTCCCTTGCTGCCCCTTCCCTCCAGCACATCCCCATCCCAGCCCGGCTGGCTGGCAGGACATGTCCCCATGAGGTCCCATCCCACTGCTGCAGCCCTGATCCCCGCCTGCACCCTGCCCACCTCCCTGGGCTCTGCTGGGCCTTGCTGTCCCATCTCAGCCATCCCCGGTGTCTTGCAGGGCGCTGCTGCAGCATGGAGGGGCTTGGGGTGGCCGATGTCCTGCTGCTCTGCTGCCTGCTGCTGCCATCCGCTGCAGGGAGCCAGCCCAGCCCACACTTGCTGACGGACCCCGAGGAGGCACCTTCCCAGCATCATGCTGCCAGGTGAGGGACGCTGGGGCGGTTCATTGTGGGGGACAGGGCAGTCGTGATGCCTGCCGAGGCCCCCAGCCCCTACCCGCAGCTCCCCAATGCACTTTGTTTTCTGCCCTCCCACAGGGCCAGGTGGGAGCAGGACAGCAGCACCCAGGAGGGGCTGCCCCCACGGCCCCGCTGCGTCCGCTGCTGTGAGCCACCTGACCAGCGCTACTCCTATCCCCCGCGCCAGCCCCTGCCTCAGATCAACATGACCATCCTGAAAGGTGAGGGCTGCCTGGGCATGGCACAGCACCTACTGCCACAGGCTGGTCCTGGGCTGCCCTGGCCAAGCCCACAGCTGGGCACCCCACGCTGCAGGGCAGGAACAGCCCACGTGGCCTGCCAGCATCTCCCTGGGATCACAGCAGAGCTGGGCTCTCTGTGCTGGTCTCGGGTATCTGGGTGCCAGTTGGCACAAACCTGCCTCCCCAAGCAGCTGGAGCGGAGGTGAGGAGCTGGGGCTGGTGCCTGCAGCCCTGTACAGAGCAGGGGGGAGGCAAAAGACTTGAGACATGAGCTGCTCACACTGCTCATCTGGGCAGCAGCTTTGGTAGGGGAACACAGAGCCCAGGTTCTCCAGCAGTTGAGGGGAGCAGGGAGCTGGGCAGGGACAGCGGGTGGGCTGTGGGCAGGCAGAGCCGGAGCTGGTCAGAGCAGCAGGCCTGGGGGACGTGGAGGTCCCTGCTCTGTCTCCATCCCCTTTTGCCAGCTGAAGGGGCTGTCTCAGCATGCTGACAGCTTCCAGAGCACCAGGGGTGGAGGTGGTGCCCCCCTCTGACCACAGAACTGCCCCTCCTGCTTTGCCCAGGTGAGAAGGGAGACCGAGGCGAGCGAGGCATGCAGGGCAAGTTCGGCAAGACAGGGGTGGCCGGCAGCAGGGGCCACACAGGGCCCAAGGGGCAGAAGGGCAGTGTGGGCGCCCCGGGGGAGCGCTGCAAGAGCCACTACGCGGCCTTCTCGGTGGGCCGCAAGAAACCCCTGCACAGCAACGACTACTACCAAACACTGATCTTTGACACGGAGTTTGTCAACCTCTACGACCACTTCAACATGTTCACGGGCAAATTCTACTGCTACGTCCCTGGGATCTACTACTTCAGCCTCAACGTGCACACCTGGAACCAGAAGGAGACTTACCTGCACATCATGCGCAACGAGGCAGAGGTGGTGATCCTCTATGCCCAGGTGAGCGACCGCAGCATCATGCAGAGCCAGAGCGTCATGCTGGAGCTGCAGGAGAAGGATGAGGTCTGGGTGCGTCTCTACAAGGGTGAGCGCGAGAATGCTGTTTTCAGCGATGAGTATGACACCTATGTCACCTTCAGCGGCCACCTCATCAAGTACAGTGGGGACCCCTGAGTGCGTGCTCAAACCCTGCTCCTCCTCCCTCAGGGCAAGTGTCCGAGGAGCCCCTGCTACTACTCTTGCCCCAGGCATGCCACCCTCCATTAAACTTAGCCCTTTTATGTGCCACCACCCCCAGCAGATACATGAACATGTGAATACCAGCCCTGTCCAGCTCCACCAGTTCCTCAACAGGCCAATTGGATGCACCTGGAGGCAATGGAGCTGCTTCCAGCCTCTGCTGCATTTGTGACCTGGGAAGCACCTGCTCAGCTGGGGCAGGCAGGGAACATGTTCCCACCTGCACTTGGTTCACAGCTGGTTTGCTGGGGTGTAGATGTGCAGAGCACTGGCTGAGAGCTGGCAGCAGCTGCACCATTTTGACTGCTGATGGCTGTGGTATGAAGCAGTGCAGACACCTGCACTGCGTTCCTTCGCCCCCCTACTCAGCAGCTCTCCCCATGACATGCACTACAGGCTTCTCCTGGAAAAGGATGGAGGGTGCTCAGCACCCAGCAGGATAGAAGGAGGGGAGCAGCAACAGCAGAGCCACTAAGGGCCCCCATTTTCTTTTCTTCCTCAGAGCTGGGTCACAAGGACTAGGATACTGCCCCACAGCACTGGGGTCACCCCTTGGGCTGACATCCTTGTAAGTGCAATTTCCTCCCCCACTGGCAGCAGTTCCCCTTTCTAAATGCCCACCCCAGTCCCCCCTGTGGCAGCCTCTGTTCTGTGCTGACACGCACTGAGGAGGGGGCTAGATCCTGGCTGGCAGCCCTGGGTGCAGGGACCTTCAGCTTCAGCCTCTCCCTCTTTGGTTAGATTTTCTGCTGGCCAGGCTTTTTATTTTTGTATATGCAATAGCAGAGCAGGGCCTGAGGCAGCGTGCTGCCCTCCCTCTGCTCGCTGTACAGCTTGTGATGACATTAAACAGCCCACAGTTTGGAGTCTTACTCATGCTTTTGGTGTATCCTCCTGCTTCATGCACGCGTCCTCCAAGCAGCTCAGGCAGGTTCACAGCTCCCAGGGTGCAGGTCCTCCCCTGAGGGGCCACATGAAAAACAGACTGAGCACAGCCTGGCTTTTCTACCACCCTTTCTGGTGGTAGAAAGGGGACACTGTCCCCAGAGACCCCAGGCTGCAGCCCAGCAGGAGCATTCCCTGCCAGGAGACCCAAGCAGCACACTGGCTGTCAGGGAGCCTCAAGGCCAGCTGCTCCCTGATGGACAGGGACATGAGAGTGGAGCATAACCCAGCCAGCAGAGCAAAGGCTTCACCAGCTAGGGCCTGTCCCACAGTCCCCAAGCAAGGTAAGCAGGGCAGACCCAGGGACAGCAGCTAGGTTTAACCAGATCGTCAGGCAAGTTCATGGTGGTGACACAGGTCTGAGACCAAGCCAGGAAGTCAGTCTACAGGTTGCAGTCCAGGTCTGGATCAACAGGGTCCCTGGCCAGGCACAGCTAGGCCGAGCTGGAGACCAGTGCACCTACAACAAAGCTTAAGAAAGGAGTGATGGCCCTGGGCTGGGCTTAAATACAGCCGTGGGCCTGTGGTCAGGGGGTGGGTGGGAGCCCCAGGTGAGGCTGCTCAGGGCTATTAGGGCCTGCTGGTGCCCTCAGGCCCTGATGCTGTGGTCCCAAAGGGGCTGGCCATTGCGTGCCCATGCAGGATGGGCCAGAGGGGATGGACATGGGCACTCGGGAGGAGGCAGCAGCCTTCTGCTCTCTGCCAGCTCCAGCGCCAGGCAGGTAGAGGCCACAGCACGTATGTCTCCTGCAGGGGTGCAAACACCGCGGCAATGCCAGGCGGGTGCTGCCCTGCACCCGGGGAGCTGAAACGTGCAGCCCCTCTCAGCATGGGCATGTCAAAGCAGTCAGGTGCTCAGGACGGTGCATGCTGACCCGCAGCCTGGGCAACCCAGCTCTCCCAGCTGGAGCGGGACGGTGCTGGGATCACTGTCCCAGCCCCATCACAGAGCCTGGAGCCTCTCCGACCCGCCCCAGCCCAGCACTGCCCGGAAGGATTCAGCGAGGAGCCGGGAGGGCCAGTGGCACCTGGTGCTGCAGGCCAAACCCCAGGCCGCCCTGCACTGCAGGGGACCACAGAGGAGAGAGGAGCCATCTCCTACCCAGGGACAGGCTCAGGAGCCACCTCCCTCCCCTGCCCCTGCCCTGCATGGAGCACCCTGGGATGGGGCCGTGCACCCCCAGGATGGGGCTGTGCGCCCCAGGAGGGGGCCAACCATGCACCCCAGGGTGGGTCTGTGCAGCCCAGGATGGGGCCATGCACCTCAGGATGGAGTTGTGCACCCCGGGCTGGGTCCATGCACCACGCGGTGGCTCCGTGCACGGCAGGATGGGTCCGTGCACCCTGGGCTGGGTCTGTGCACCCCGGGATGGAGCTGTGCACACTGGGATGGGTCCATGCACCCCGGGCTGGGTCCGTGCACCCCGGGATGGAGCTGTGCACACTGGGATGGGTCCATGCACCCCGGGCTGGGTCCGTGCACCCCGGGATGGAGCTGTGCACACTGGGATGGGTCCATGCACCCCGGGCTGGGTCCGTGCACCCCGGGATGGAGCTGTGCACCCTGGGCTGGGTCCGTGCACCCCGGGATGGAGCTGTGCACCCTGGGCTGGGTCCGTGCACCCCGGGATGGAGCTGTGCACGGCGGGATGGGTTCGTGCACCCCGGGATGGAGCTGTGCACGGCGGGATGGATCCGTGCACCCCGGGCTGGGTCCGTGCACCCCGGGATGGAGCTGTGCACGGCGGGATGGAGCTGGGCACGGCGGGCTGGGTCCGTGCACCCCAGGGGTGGCCCCGCGCGCCCCGCCGAGGGCCCCGC